TTCGGTGAAAGACCAGCTGAAAGCTTCAAATGGGCTCCCAATGGTACACTAACTGGCTTCGTATCCATGCTAACATGGAATCGCTGTAGAACCTTCTTCAAATAAGCCACCTGTGTCAAACAAATTCTGCCCTTCTTCTTGTCTCTGCCGATCTCCATCCCTAAAATGCGCTTCGCCTCGCCCAAGTCCTTCATCTCAAACTCATTCGAAAGCTGAATCTTCAACTCATCTATAGCTGACCTGGAACTTGAAGCAACCAACATGTCATCGACATAAAGCAATAAATAAATGTACGCACCTCCTCTCAACTTGCGAAAATACACGCAAGGATCAAACTGGCTCCGAGTGTACGAATGACCAAGCATAAAACCATCAAATCGCCTATACCACTGTCGAGGAGACTGCTTCAAACCGTATAGCGATTTCTTTAGCCTGCAAACCAACTTATCTTTCCCTGCAGCTCGGAATCCCAATGGCTGAGTCATATATATTTCTTCATCAAGATCACCATGAAGAAATGCTGTCTTCACATCCAACTGATCTAACTCCAATCCATACTGTGCCACCAAAGCTAGCAAAATCCGAATCGACGAATGCTTCACCACCGGAGAGAAAACCTCATTGTAATCAATACCTTCCTCCTGTGCATAGCCCTTCGCAACCAACCTAGCCTTGAACCTCACTGGAGTGCCCTCAATGCCCTCCTTCTTCGTGTACACCCACTTGCACCCAATCGCCTTCCGCCCCTTTGGAAGCTCTACAAGCTCCCATGTATCGTTCTTGTGAAGAGACTCCATCTCCTCCTGCATAGCCACCTGCCACGAATCAGCCTCCGAACTCTGCTCGGCCTCTCTGAATGTAGTAGGCACCATCTCATCGATACTCTCCACCGGAAGTGCATATGCAACTGTGTCGGCATACCGTGCTGGCACCCGTATGTCTCTCCTCTGTCTCCGTGCCGCAATAGAATCCTGAACCTGAGCCGTCGGTCCCTGATCCTGCTCATGAGTACCCGTATCCTCCGCATCACCGTCGTGCTCGCCTGGCGTCACCTCAGTCGGCACTCTCATGGATACTGCACTATCTGGACTCTGTGGAGCTGCATCAATCTCCACCACCTGCGAAATCTCCTCTGTCGGGTTGCTCTCCACCTGATGAGAGCTGGGAAGCTTCAAGATAGAAGCCTCATCGAATGTGACGTCCCTACTCAGCACAATCTTCTTATCAACTGGATCCCAAAGCTTGTATCCCTTGACACCACGCTTGAATCCTACAAATATGGCCTTCCTAGCTCGAGGTTCCAACTTATCAGTTCTAACATGATAATATGCAGGGCAACCAAATACCTTAAGCTGGTCATAGTCATGTGCTGTCTCTCCCGACCACATCTCCATAGGGGTCTTCCCCTCAATCGCAGATGAAGGCAGCCTGTTAATGAGGTGGCTCGCATAAGAAAGTGCCTCAGCCCAAAAGATCTTCTCCAAACCACTATGCGCCAATAAACATCGAATCTTCTCCAGCAAAGACCGATTCAATCTCTCCGCCACCCCATTCTGCTGCGGTGTATGACTAACTGTGAAGTGCCTCTCTATGCCCTCGTCTCGACATAGCTGCAGAAAGGGGTCTGAGGTATACTCGCCGCCGTTGTCGGATCGCAACGTCTTGATCTTTCTCCCAGTCTGCAGTTCCAATCTCTTCTTCCACTCCACAAACAAATCTAGGACTTCACTCTTATGCTTCATGGTGTACACCCAACATCGCCTAGAATAGTCATCAACGAACGTGACGAACCAATGTCGACCACCAAGTGATGCCGTCTTAGTGGGACCCCAAACATCTGTGTGCACGTAGTCCAAGATGCCCCTCGTCCTATGAATGGCCGTCCCGAACTTCACCTTCGTCTTCTTGCCAAGTACACAGTGCTCACAGAATTCTACTTTACCACTCTTGGCTCCCTTCAAAAGCCCCTGCTTGCACAATGCCTGCAGTGACTTTTCACCTGTATGCCCTAGCCTGTAGTGCCAAAGTCTGCTCATGTCCGCCTCTGAAATCGCCGAAGCAACCTGGCCAATCTCGGTGCTCCCCTTCAGATAATATAAATTATGATTTCGGACTCCCTTCATCACCACCAAAGATCCCTTAGTAACCTTTGCTACAGCATCCTCAAAGGTCACCCTGAATCCCTTCGCCTCCAAAGCCCCCACTGAGATAAGATTCTTCTTAAGTTGAGGAACGAATCTCACCTCCTTCAGCTCACGGACTACTCCATCGTGCATCCGAATCCTCACAGTACCTATCCCACGAACGCCACAGGATTGATCATTTCCCATGACCACAACACCCCCATCGAGTCTCTCAAATGATGAGAACCAATCTCGCCTAGGAGTCACATGATAAGTAGCGCCAGAATCAAGCATCCACTCCGATGCATCCAAATGGTTCACCTCCGGAGTAATCAAAAGAGAAAAGCTCGAATCATCGGAATCATCGCCTTTCGCAACATTCACCTCATTGGCCTTCGGGCCCTTATTCTTGCTATTCTCCTTTTCTTTGACTTTCGGGCAATCTCTTTTCCAATGTCCCTGCTCCTTGCAGAATGCACATTGATTCTTTCCAAGCTGGTGACGACCTCTTGACTTTGACCTCCCTCTGTTTCCACCTTTCTGATATGAGCTTCTACCTCTCGCCGACAAGGCCTCTCCTGAAGTACTAGCGCGGGAAGTCTCCTTATCCTTCCTCCTCAAATCATAGTTCGTCAATGCGTTAGTCACTTCACTATAAGTGATAGAAGATCTCCCGTTCAGCAACGTAAGCACGAAGGTATCATACTCCTCATCCGGTAAGGAGCCCAAAAGAATAATAGCCTTGTACTCATCTGTGATCTTCTCATCCACGTTCGCCAAGTCCGACAACAACTTAGTGTAGTTGTTCACATGAGCCGCAAGCGAGGTACCTCTGGACATCTGGAATCTGAATAACCTTCGCAGCAAGTGCAACCGGTTCTCAACACTCTTCGTAAGGTACTTATTGTTGAGAATTTCCCACATCTTCATCGCAGACGTCACCCCAATCACATCGTATTTCAGCTCCTGTTCCAAACAGGACCTGATCACCCCGCAAGCATTTCGATTCATCTTTTCCCATATCGCCTCTTCATATTTAGGTGGCCTCACATCGACCATGATGGTCTCCTCCAGATTTTGAGCATTGAGCGCATCCTGTACGTCGCTCATCCACAAACCAAAATTGATCTTGCCGTCATATTTCACAACACTAATCTTAGTGTTCTGAAAACCCACTTGAACTGTGCCTGTCATCTTGCTGCTTTCACCAATTACTTCACCCATAATCACAACTTCCAAATTGTAGAGAAAGATCCAAACTTTGAAAGAATAAGAAATTACCCAACTGAACCCTAGATTGGATTCCAAATAGAACTCCTAACCACACGAGGAAAGCGAGATCTTCAACGGCAACTTCAAACCCTAACTCCACCAAAGCCTAGAACTCCAAGAACCAAGCTTCAAACTGAATCTTCCTCCACCTAATCCAAAACCCTAGATCTGAATCTGAGCTCTGATACCACTTGTCGCGCGCCTTTGCGGAAGCCTTGCACGAACTCACAACGAACCTGTGATCACGAGTAGAAGAAAGACAAACTCTTGCACAAATCCAACCAATAAAGCCAAATCAATCCAAACACAGAGATATACGTGGTTCGGCAATTTGCCTACGTCCACGGGGAGAGGATGGGGAGATTTCACTAAATCAAGGAGAGTACAAAGGGTTACAATCACACAAATTCTCTCAAACTAACCCTCAACCAAAGATCTCACCTTGCTCACAATATCTCCCTCTCACAATGCTCAAAAGATTCCTCAATCTCTGATAAAAAACCCTCACAAATCGTTTCCCTATTTATATCAAAACAAAACCCCAATCAGACTGCAAATAGGAAACCTGCGTATGCAAAAAACCCGCTATAAGTCGACTTATCAGTGTGCACAAGTCGACTTGACAGAGAGAAAATCAACAACTGGAGAACACTTCATAAGTCGACTTAACAGACTGTTAAGTCGACTTGCCATAAGTCGACTTAACAGTCATGCTAAGTCGACTTGACAGAGGCTAAAATCACAATTCGGCTGCAGATCGTAAGTCGACTCGTGCACAGTGCATGAGTCGACTTATGCCAGTTTTTCTATGTGTTCGTGGGCCTGGGCCTTATCCGGTTCACAGTGTGGTGCAGGACAGATTCTACCACACCCATGGCAGACACCACACCAGGGTGTGGTGGAGTCTGTTTTGGGTTATTCTTCACGTTTTTCACAATTCCTTCGCCGTTTTCACACAACGTACAGTCGAAAAGAAACTTTTTGAAGACAACTCAATTTTTAAAGAAACCAAATCAAACTGTGCAAGCACGGACGTAACGCTTGTATGAATAAGAGCATGATATATCTTCTAACTATGAAAGTTCAAAACCTTGGTAAATTCTTCTCGGTGCAAAGGAGGGCGATGATGACTCCTCAAATGCAAATTCTTCTCAGGATTCAGGCCATCAGCCCATGATGTAACCCACTGCCCCTCTCTTATTGGGCTTATCGGTCTGGCCCAAATCCAACCCTACCAATAATATAACATTAAGAAGTGCTGAAGTATTGAAGATCACAGCCTTAGCCATGGTGGTGCTAATCATTCCAGCAGTTAGTTTTTTCAAAAAGGGGGCCCTATGCACAGATACTTTATAGCTCACAAGATGCTGAAAAAACTCAGAGCCATTATGAGATTAGCATGGTCAAAGACGTAAGTTAGGCCCCCTAGTCCACCTATCACTTGCTTTGCCATCAAGAAATCAACTAAACAGTGCATCTGGTCTTCACTAAACGTCGCCGAAAGTTCAATAATCCCTACCGTTTGATTATAATTAAGATCACAATGTTTGGACCCACTCATAGCATCATAGAATTCTATAGGTGATTTCAAAATGATGAGGATTGCGAATTAAGCAATGTGATCACATGAGAAGTATTAATATGCCTATTGAGATCTCTTACGCATAATCAGCTGTCTTTGCAGATTTTTTAGCTAATTTGAAGGTGCACTTCATCATCATGGTATAGAATTTGGTTGCTCTTTACTCTGATTTAAAGCCTCTATTGGGGTCAGATTGAAACTAGCCTCTCTCTTTGAAATTGTAGGCCTTGGGTTGAATCAAGTTATGACCAATGAGATGGGGAATCAAAATACAAATGGTTTTCTAGGTAAGTATTTCGACTGAGAATTGAATGGAATTCTTTTCTGGGCATTGCATGTTGAATTGATCTTATGCTCGTTGTTCTCAGCTTCAGAGCGAGAAAACAATGAGTCTGCTTATCTTACAAGTCAATCTTCTCTCAATGCTTCATCTATGTCGAATGAATTAGATGGACTGAAGAGTCTTACTGGTTCCCTTAGTCATAGTTCTCCAAGTAAGTTAATTCTGGATTATAACTTAATATCATCGTGGACTTGATTTCTTACGTTGAACTGTAATTGTAGATTTGGATAAACCTGAGAGCCCAAAACTTGCTAATCGTGGATATCTGGAACCTACGGTTGAGACAACTCAGTCCATTTCATCAGGAGAAAATGAAGGTAAAAACTTTTGAAGTCTAGACTAGATAAGCTTCCGTGGCAATAATTATACGTATGGCATTTTATTTTTCATGTATCAGAGGAAGAACACAGTCAGAAGGTTGTTACCGATGAACCTTTGAAATCTTCCGTTGTGCAAAATGATGTACTTAACGAGGGTCCGTCAATTCTTTCAAGAGAAAATGAGGGTATTTTGTTATTTTTGACTAATAGTTTACGTATAATACTCCAATGACTTCAATTTTTATATCGCCTTTTCTTTGTGTAGCTTACGAGAAACAAGATGCCAATATGGTACCTGCCGATGAAGATTTAGATTCAAAAATTATGTCAAATGAACATCATGCTGGTTTTGCTAGGAATGAATCCTCAGAAGTAGATGGCAGTCTTATCATAAGGGAAACATCAGAAACAACAGGTTAGCAACTCATCACAGTCAATTATTGATCATAATAAAGTAAAATTAGCAATTATTGGCTGGGGTTGTTCAAATCTTAGTAGATAGAAAAGGTTCATCGTTTTCGTAGATCAGTAAATTTATCATCACTTTTTATGAAAATCGCATTGCTGTTCTCACTCTCAGAGGAAGAGAACAATGAGGCTCCTGAAATCATTAAGGAACATCCAAAAGCTTTTTCTACCTCGAGTTGTGTAGACGACCTGAAATATTCAACTCATTCTCTTCCATATGATCATCAGGGTAAAAATCATTTCTTGATTTTATGCTTTATTACCTCTATTGTCCTGGATAAGGATTACTCATATCAATGATTTTTCCCCCCATATTATTTTATAGCTTCAGAAGAACATAAAGCTGAGAAATCAGATACTGGTGAATGTTTCAAACATGTGGGTTTCTCAAATGATACAGGGCTAACTTTGCCAACAGAATTTGAGGCTGTTCATAAGCAGACTCCTTCAGAAGACAATGAGTCATTAGAAAAAGATGACGTCCTTATTCATAACCAAACACATGAAGCAAGAGGTCAGTAACTTGTACGTGAAGCTCCATTATCTTTTTTCTTTGAACTAATTAGTAGGAATTTTATTTGCCTAGTTCAGGTTTTAGGTGAATTAAAGCGTACCTTCAGTCATATCACACAAATTAATTATCTATACTCTAGTCTACGTAGGCATAGAGATTAAGTTACAAAAAAAATCAAGATGAAACAATAACAAACAGATGAGATACTGATGCAGAAATATATGTCCATGTATCAGTCTTTGTGCAAAAGTTTGATTGTGTGTGTATGATCACCTATCATATATTAGAAAGCAACCTGTGATGAATACCCTAATCACTACTTTTTATCTTCTTCTAAAATCATAATTTGATGATTTCAGTGGAAGAAAAGACAAATACTTTGGCTCAAGAATCAACAGAGGAAGCCGATGAGTTTGTAGATAGTATAGTAGAGAGGCAGAATCAAAGTCTTCCAGCAAACATCAACCAAGAAAACAAGATAGACGATTTACCAGTTGAAGGCAGCAACTCAATAGGAGACATGGTACCGGTGATTAATAGTATCCAAGTAATTGAAGATCATATTGACCAAGATAGAGAACGAAAATGTGAAGAGTTAGAAGCAGGCCAATCTGTTGCTTATTTAGATGCTGTTGACTCGGAAATTGAGAAATTAATTATGGAAGACTTTGCAAATGGAGACAAAGAAGCTTCTACCGCCGAATCAAACAAACTATTAGAAGAACTAAAGATGGATGATATTGACACAGATAGTTTTGAAATACAACTTAATGCCGTTGAGCCTAAGGGAGAAGAAAAGGATGATGGAAACGATGCTAGACTCGAAGAGGCAGTATTTGAGATATCTCTTCAAACTGATTACACTTCAAATTTGATGCCTGAAATTTTGAGTAAGAATATAGAGGTAGAGACAGCGCCGGTGATAGAATCTGCAATAGTATCAGATATTTCTGTCGCAGATAACAAACATGAAGAGGCAACCGAATATGAAGAACTTGGTGATCAGAAGAAAGAGCAAATTTTCCAAACAACTCCGACAGAAATAATCAGACCTGCTTCAGCTCAATACCTTGAAGAGTTTGAGAATAAATGCATTCTGAATGAAAATGAAACACCAAAAACCAATGAATTCTCGATCGTCAACAATAATAATGCACTTCTCGCTGAGGCTAAATCAGAAACCAAGATACAGTTGCAAGAAAAGATTACCAAGAACAATGAAGAAGTCAGTAGAGAATTGAGCCAAGAAAAACCCTTTGAGACTGAGGTCACTGAAACTGAAAAAGTGAAATGTCTCATTTACACATCAGAAAGAAGTAATCTTGATGCCGATGAAAGCTCGCCAAACTACGTCAGGGACCAAATTCCTTCTATGGGTCAAGAGAAAGCCACTAAAGGTGAAGTTTTTACCTCTGAAACTTCTGATACTGAAGAAATTGTCAGGGAATATCTTGTCAGTACAAACCAAGAATCTGATAAAAGCCCATTACTTGATAGAAAGCCAGAGGAGAGTGAAGACTTTGGGAATCTGAGAACACAATTAGGAAACATTATGAAAGAGGAACCTGCATTGAAGAATGATGGCAGTCTTTTTTCGAAGAGAACTGTTGAAGCCAAGAAATCAATGGCTTCTTTAGACAAGGCCAGAGAGAAACAGAAGAGAAAATCTTCTCTCTTTCACAATTTTATGTGTTGCACAACAGCCATAAATTGACGGTTAAATTTTGCTTGGCCTCTCTTTATGTTGCTTTTTCCTGTATGTTTACAGTTTTGAAACTTGTTGAGTGGATGTGAAGAGCGTGAAAAAGATTGAGAAATATCTTGATTGTATTTGCAAAGTTTGAATGCCCTTGCTATAATGTGATTCCATAATTTATAAATTATATATTTTTTTTAATAAAATACCACGCTATGATGCTATTGCTAGATTAGTACTTCCAACTTTTTAGTAACTGGATTTTTACGTTCCACATATAAATTTTGATTAAATTAGAACTTATATATTCCTACATTTCTTTGTTTTCATATGTGACAGACTACAGACTTGGATCATTTATTTGATTTGAGTAGTGGCTAACAGGGAAGTTGTGAAAAACTGAAAGACTGGTTTTGGCCTGAGTACAGGAATTAATGCAGAAATATCTACGTGTATTCTCTTCTAGCAGTTCCTCTAAATTTGCCTCACTTTTACTACTTTCCCCTGGTATTCTAGTTATCTTGTTTGCTCACATTTCTTCTACTCTAGAATTTATACGTACAAATCCCCAACATTTCGTAGACCATCAATTTACATATATAAATCTTCAAACGAAATTAGATGAACTTCTACATTTTTAACCTCAAATGAGATATCCAACTAAATGAAAGGCTTTATTCCCCTGCTATGTTAGAGGGTTAAAAAAAGAAGAAGAAAAGGAATACATGATGATGACCCTGTTACTAATAACATCATACAATACGTAGCTCTTTTGTACTTGTTACAAAAAACACGGGGTCATTCACCAAAGACTGCTTCAGTAGAGAATTTGAAAAACAAGTTGATTACATATTTTGCATCAGTTGCACAAACTCTTGATAATTCACTTGTCCATCGCCATCCAAATCGGCCTCTCTAATCATTTGTTCCGCCTCTTCCTCCGTCAGTTTCTCACCGAGACTGATCATCACATTTATTAGCTACAAGGACAAAACAAAATACATTAACTAAAAAAGTAAAAATAAGGCAGGAAAATGTATCCTTTTTTTGTTGATAAAATGAAACTAAATACCAATTATACAAGTACGTATAAAAGATTAATTTACCTCGTTGGCTGATATATACCCATTCTGATCCCTGTCAAAGACCTTGAAAACTTCCCTCAGTTCCTCTTCTGCATCAGTTTCCTGCAATTGACAGAAGTTCAGTTATCCCACTTAAACCATTATTGATTTATTTATTACGTCAGGGTTTGTTTCAAAGTAAATTGTAACCATTGACAATGTTTACCTTCATTTTTCTAGTCATTTGATTTAAGAACTCCCCAAATTCCACGTTCTCATTGCCCTCTACGTTAAATTTGCTCATTATATGCAATAACATTTCTTCTTTAGGATCCTGGCCTAATGATTTGATTACAGTGGCTAGTTCCTCCAACGCAGAGCAACCTTCAAAGCCAATAAGATGAATAAAAATTAGTAGTCAGAGAAAATCTAATCCAAGATATTAACTCATGTCAAATCAAAATCAATAAAAATCGGGAACTTGATGTAAAAAGTGAAATTTTGGCTCACAGCCTCCAAAAGTCACCTGTCATGGGAATAGTGACAAACATGTCCCTCTTTCAAGGGGAAATATTTATCGTAGAATGAATCAAATCAAGGATTAAGTTCATAAGTTGACCGTAGTAACACGCTTTAGAAATTCTGGAGTTTTGACCCTAACAAAATATCTCCTTAACTATTAGGGTTAGGTGTTTTTTTTTTTATTATAGAAAATTGGGGTGAGATGGTAATATGTTGCTTTACATGAAACTAACCTTTATATGAGCATATAGTCACTTTCAAAAGCATGTATTGATCAAAACAACTTAGGAGGCTGACCAACCGGGGGAAAAAAAGGAGAAAAACTGTCATTTTAGAAAACTACATTTTAAGTCTTATATGTACAATATCAGAGTAATAGAAAATGCTAAAAGATTATCGATATACATATAATTATTTCTACACATCTTTTAGCAAATTTAACTGTGTATAAATGCTGCCTTTTTCTTGGCTTTCTGAATACTCTCTCTCTCTCTCTCTCTCTCTCTCTCTCATAAAAGAACTCAATCGAAATCAAATCAAAACGATCAAAATTCATTTTCAATCTGGTTCCTTTATGAATCCTCATGCCCATTTAGCAAAGAGAGGCAACAATCAACACAATGAATACCTAAATCCAAAAACTTATCAACTTTTGCAAAAATCATGAAAACAAGGAATTAGCGAGGAAATAATGCACGACAATGGTGCATGAAATAAAGAAACAAAACTAAAAAAGGGCAATTCCAAAACAATTGACCACCAAAAACCCAAGTGCAATATAACTATAGGCAATGATTAAATATAAGAAATTAGTATATTTATGAGGGAGGAAGAACAAACCATCTCCATCTTTATCAAAGAGGCTAAGAGCTTCAACAAACTCAGACATGTGCTCCTCATCATGAACAAGACCCATCTCCACACTCACAGTACTCACGACGAACAGAAAAAGAAATTAAGAAAGAACAAGGGTGTCAATTAATGAAAGGAGAGAGCAAAGCTAAGCTATTTGTAAGGAGGCAAAATCTAGAGACATGGAATAAAAAGCTAACTCCTAATGAACGTCGACAGCTCTGACTCTTTTTAGCTCTGTTCAATTGATAACCAGTCAAAACAAACACGAGTAAAGAAACAGTACGAGGGTTGTTTCCTCAATTGAGACGGGGCTCTTATCCATAAAAAGTGTTGGCTTATACTATTCATGCTTCCAATTGAATTTTTGCCATGATCTTTGAACAATCCGAGAGAGAACCTTTTTTGGGTTGAAGACGTGCAATTTGGGGAGGTCAATTTTCTGACCGTGATTGACAACTCATTAGTCTCAAATCAAATTTCTGTGGAGTTGAAAGAGGAAAAAAAAATTCCTGCGTTTTTCAAACACTGGAAAGCTCCAGAGATTAGGTGACCATTTAAGGATGGATTTTGGGATGTGTGATTTATCTGAAGTCAGCCTAAAACTTTTTAGTAAGTTTCGTGTGCAAGTAATTGCACCTTATATAGATGAAAAATATTTCCAAGATTCAGTCAGCGACTACAATTAATATTAGAGGTCATTGGCCCAATTGAATTGCTATTTGAAAAGGATTCGGATCCTCTCCACTACAAAAAAAACAGTGGAGGGACCACTACATAATCAAACTTATATATTCCTACATTTCTTTGTTTTCATATGTGACAGACTACAGACTTGGATCATTTATTTGATTTGAGTAGTGGCTAACAGGGAAGTTGTGAAAAACTGAAAGACTGGTTTTGGCCTGAGTACAGGAATTAATGCAGAAATATCTACGTGTATTCTCTTCTAGCAGTTCCTCTAAATTTGCCTCACTTTTACTACTTTCCCCTGGTATTCTAGTTATCTTGTTTGCTCACATTTCTTCTACTCTAGAATTTATACGTACAAATCCCCAACATTTCGTAGACCATCAATTTACATATATAAATCTTCAAACGAAATTAGATGAACTTCTACATTTTTAACCTCAAATGAGATATCCAACTAAATGAAAGGCTTTATTCCCCTGCTATGTTAGAGGGTTAAAAAAAGAAGAAGAAAAGGAATACATGATGATGACCCTGTTACTAATAACATCATACAATACGTAGCTCTTTTGTACTTGTTACAAAAAACACGGGGTCATTCACCAAAGACTGCTTCAGTAGAGAATTTGAAAAACAAGTTGATTACATATTTTGCATCAGTTGCACAAACTCTTGATAATTCACTTGTCCATCGCCATCCAAATCGGCCTCTCTAATCATTTGTTCCGCCTCTTCCTCCGTCAGTTTCTCACCGAGACTGATCATCACATTTATTAGCTACAAGGACAAAACAAAATACATTAACTAAAAAAGTAAAAATAAGGCAGGAAAATGTATCCTTTTTTTGTTGATAAAATGAAACTAAATACCAATTATACAAGTACGTATAAAAGATTAATTTACCTCGTTGGCTGATATATACCCATTCTGATCCCTGTCAAAGACCTTGAAAACTTCCCTCAGTTCCTCTTCTGCATCAGTTTCCTGCAATTGACAGAAGTTCAGTTATCCCACTTAAACCATTATTGATTTATTTATTACGTCAGGGTTTGTTTCAAAGTAAATTGTAACCATTGACAATGTTTACCTTCATTTTTCTAGTCATTTGATTTAAGAACTCCCCAAATTCCACGTTCTCATTGCCCTCTACGTTAAATTTGCTCATTATATGCAATAACATTTCTTCTTTAGGATCCTGGCCTAATGATTTGATTACAGTGGCTAGTTCCTCCAACGCAGAGCAACCTTCAAAGCCAATAAGATGAATAAAAATTAGTAGTCAGAGAAAATCTAATCCAAGATATTAACTCATGTCAAATCAAAATCAATAAAAATCGGGAACTTGATGTAAAAAGTGAAATTTTGGCTCACAGCCTCCAAAAGTCACCTGTCATGGGAATAGTGACAAACATGTCCCTCTTTCAAGGGGAAATATTTATCGTAGAATGAATCAAATCAAGGATTAAGTTCATAAGTTGACCGTAGTAACACGCTTTAGAAATTCTGGAGTTTTGACCCTAACAAAATATCTCCTTAACTATTAGGGTTAGGTGTTTTTTTTTTTATTATAGAAAATTGGGGTGAGATGGTAATATGTTGCTTTACATGAAACTAACCTTTATATGAGCATATAGTCACTTTCAAAAGCATGTATTGATCAAAACAACTTAGGAGGCTGACCAACCGGGGGAAAAAAAGGAGAAAAACTGTCATTTTAGAAAACTACATTTTAAGTCTTATATGTACAATATCAGAGTAATAGAAAATGCTAAAAGATTATCGATATACATATAATTATTTCTACACATCTTTTAGCAAATTTAACTGTGTATAAATGCTGCCTTTTTCTTGGCTTTCTGAATACTCTCTCTCTCTCTCTCTCTCTCTCTCTCTCATAAAAGAACTCAATCGAAATCAAATCAAAACGATCAAAATTCATTTTCAATCTGGTTCCTTTATGAATCCTCATGCCCATTTAGCAAAGAGAGGCAACAATCAACACAATGAATACCTAAATCCAAAAACTTATCAACTTTTGCAAAAATCATGAAAACAAGGAATTAGCGAGGAAATAATGCACGACAATGGTGCATGAAATAAAGAAACAAAACTAAAAAAGGGCAATTCCAAAACAATTGACCACCAAAAACCCAAGTGCAATATAACTATAGGCAATGATTAAATATAAGAAATTAGTATATTTATGAGGGAGGAAGAACAAACCATCTCCATCTTTATCAAAGAGGCTAAGAGCTTCAACAAACTCAGACATGTGCTCCTCATCATGAACAAGACCCATCTCCACACTCACAGTACTCACGACGAACAGAAAAAGAAATTAAGAAAGAACAAGGGTGTCAATTAATGAAAGGAGAGAGCAAAGCTAAGCTATTTGTAAGGAGGCAAAATCTAGAGACATGGAATAAAAAGCTAACTCCTAATGAACGTCGACAGCTCTGACTCTTTTTAGCTCTGTTCAATTGATAACCAGTCAAAACAAACACGAGTAAAGAAACAGTACGAGGGTTGTTTCCTCAATTGAGACGGGGCTCTTATCCATAAAAAGTGTTGGCTTATACTATTCATGCTTCCAATTGAATTTTTGCCATGATCTTTGAACAATCCGAGAGAGAACCTTTTTTGGGTTGAAGACGTGCAATTTGGGGAGGTCAATTTTCTGACCGTGATTGACAACTCATTAGTCTCAAATCAAATTTCTGTGGAGTTGAAAGAGGAAAAAAAAATTCCTGCGTTTTTCAAACACTGGAAAGCTCCAGAGATTAGGTGACCATTTAAGGATGGATTTTGGGATGTGTGATTTATCTGAAGTCAGCCTAAAACTTTTTAGTAAGTTTCGTGTGCAAGTAATTGCACCTTATATAGATGAAAAATATTTCCAAGATTCAGTCAGCGACTACAATTAATATTAGAGGTCATTGGCCCAATTGAATTGCTATTTGAAAAGGATTCGGATCCTCTCCACTACAAAAAAAACAGTGGAGGGACCACTACATAATCACGGTTATTGATTATGTAGTTAATGGTTGTGATTTTTTCTTTTAGTGCAAATTAGGAATGAGTGCAATACACGGGGTATGGTCAGTGGCGTAGCCAGGATTATGTTTTGCCCTGGGCGAAAAATAAATGTGGTCTACGAGTATGTCGTGAATCTAACTCCTCTGCCATTTATTCTGTGTCAAGGCTGGAAGTAATTTCTTTTTTCAATATAAAGTATCATGTTATTAGCAAGCAATTCATCTCCCATCTTGTTGCGCAATGATGTTTTTATGAGTTTCATTACCGAAAAGGTTCTTTTCGTGCTTGCAGTCGATATAGGAAGAGTCAACACGAGCCAAATCAAAGTGGAGAAATTTTAGTAATCCTAGTCCATTGTTGCATGTACACCCCAAGGATTTTTAGCACTAAAGATGCGGCAAAGAATATTTGCAGATATGGGCCAAATACCAAAACGCGATATTTTAATTGTTCAATGGCTTACCTGCTAAATTCTTGCCCTGGGCAGCTGCCCAAGGCAAGCCAAGGCTGGCTACGCCACTGGGTATGGTAAATGTTAGATTTAGATTGTATCATAACCGCCTACTAAATAATCAACGATTGAGATTAAAAGCAGTGGTCTCTCCACTACTTTTTTGTAGTGGAGAGGATCCAAATCCATTTGAAAATTACCAATGAATTGTAGTTAATACTTAACAGAGACGAGTACGTGTTGTGGGGAATGAACAGAGTGGGGCTGGAATGAAACAGTTACTGTTAAAATTTTACTAAAGTATCGTACGAACAGCGGGCACTAATGTAAGTTGGCATGATAGCGTATTTACTTTCATAAGTGCTCTCTCTTCATCTTTCTCTACTCAGTTATCTGGGTAATGTAAGATATTTTAATGGCTAAATCACACTTGAATACCCTGAGCTGAAAAAGTAGAACTTTAATAATCTAAGTTGTAAAAAAGTAGCTTTTTAATGCTCTATGTTAAAAAAAGAGTACTGCTACGGGGACCCAAAATATGGGACCAATGGAGGGGACATGTGATGTGTTCCCTCCCTATTGCATAATGAGTTGGTCATGCCAACTCATTATGCAATAAGGAGGGGACACATCACCTGTCCCCTCACTTGGTCCCATATTTTGGGTCCTTAAATCATTTTTCTTAAAAAAAACGTACTTAAACTACCTTATTCTTTCACCACCTTTACACTTAATATTTTAAGTTGTAAAAATAGTATTTTAATACCCTAAGTTGTAAGAAATTGACACTTTTGATACCTTAAGTTGTAAAAAAAATTGCACTTTAGTATCTTCTGTTAGTTGTCATGACATATTCTGTTTTCGTCAAAAGTTGCCTTCATCATTGATTTCATTAGAAACTTCAAACGTTACAAACGAATTCAAATAACGAAAATAAAAATTACAACTTTCTTAAAAATAAACGCAATATCCGTTTATCGTCTCTTGCTTGCGTGGGTCTTTGGCCTGTGACGGGGACGTCGATATCCGTGGACTACCTGGCAATCAGATCTGATCCAGAAAAATCGGGCAGAGCTTCGTCGATCCGCGAGGAGATCTAGAAGCTTGAAGCGCCTATCTCGGCTAAAGCGAGATATTTGCTCTTCTTAGGATTACCGGCGAAGGGTAATGCTAAGGAACGGACACGGGTGATGCAAATCTGATGAAGACCTCTCTTGTGTTGAAGCGCTCGATCACTCTTCACTGCAGCAGGGCTTCGCCATCTCTCCAAAAATCCAGATCCTCCAAAAGTGAGGCCTAAGGTTCCTATTTATAGGCATGAGGGCACATAGGGCGTTGGGACACCCCTGGGGTGTCTAGGCAAAGCCGAGACACCCCTGGGGTGTCTTGGCTTTGCCTAGACACCCCTGGGGTGTTTCGACTTTCCCGAGACACCCCGGGTGTCCCAGTTCAGCCTGAGACGCTCCGTTGCATATGTTTGATTGTTTCCGCCGTAAATTCTTCGTCCGAACTCGGATTTGAATGATTCCAAGTGCGTTGGAAGCTTGACGAAGAGTTCCATCTGTTCCGATGGTTGGATTATCTGTGGAGTGAACGAGATATGAAGGGCATTGTTCTTTTTGTGAACATCGCAGGGTTCCCGATTGGCCCGTGCCTTCATTATTCCGAAATCCTATCAGCTCACGTAGTTCGTCGATTCACTTCAGTCGTTCATCGACGTCAATTGAACTCCTGTGAACCAGATTGTGACGTTCATTGTCGTTCCTTAACACTGGGCTATTCGTGGAGACCTATAGGCAATTTTCGATGCCTACATATTCCTAAAAATAATTTCATGAAACTAACAAAGGATAACTAATATGCTAATTTTTAACAACTTAGGTTATTAAAGTATTACTTTTTACAACTTAGGTTACTTAAGAGTAAAGGTGGTGAAACAAGAGGGTATTTAAGCACCATTTAGCCTATTTTAATAACATTGATAGTATGCGATTTTACTATTTTTAAATTTTTTTTTTTTGTATAGTTAAAAGTTTGTGATGTGGTGTTTGTACAAAAAAGTTTTGCTATAGGGACCCAAAATATGGGACCAATAGAGGGGACAAGTAAGTTTATTTTTCTTGTACAAAATAAACATACAAAAATCACTATCATTTTTTTTTAAGTTTTGTGAAGTTTATCCAAACTTGTAGCAAGTAGTAGGTGATGCCAAAGACTTAAGTATATAGAGTATTTATTTTAGGTAATATAAATAAAGTTTAGAGGTTATGTGAAATTAATCCTTTTTATAATATTTTTTATAATATTAGAATGCCATCATATTGAAGAAGATACTTCATAAATGCCCACACACCTTGGAAAAAGGCAACCGAAATATCCTCATATTGGGAAAAAAAATTCCAAAAAAAAACTAATAAATCATCCCTCCTCTTTGTTAAATACACTATACTTTACATTCTTGACAATTTGACTACATGCACATTGAAATACTAGCACGATAATAAACTTAACTAGAGCTTGGGAAAGTTGACGACAAGGTTAGGCTGACAGTGTTTATTACTGTACTAGCATTTCAGGATGAGCGTAGTCAAACTATCAAGAGTGTTACGTATAGAGTATTTAACCAAGAGGATGGATGATTTATTAGATTTGTTAGATTTATAATTTGATATTTTTTAGAATGAGAATATTGTTAGTTTGGGTGTAGACCAAACTCACCTCCGACGACGGAGGAGCTCCGACGAGCTCCAGGATGTCGCAGGCGAAGCTGGAGTCTGCCCTTCGAGCTCTGCGTTCGAACCCCCCTTCGAGCTCTGCGTTCGAACCCCCCACTTTTGCTCTGCGTTCGAACTCCTCCCGACCTCTGCGTTTGGCGATGGCGACCTTTGCGTTCGAGCGCTCCCACCTTTGCGTCTGTGGGCCGCTGGCGACAGGCTGTCGCCAGCTCATCAACTCTGCCTATAAAACCCCCCTTTGGCCCTAGGGTTTCGGTGCTGAAGCTTCTCCTCCTCCGATTGTTCCTCTGGCAGCGGACCAAAAACAAACGCAGCTGCGTTTGTTCTTCCAACCCCTTCGCCCAAAACGCAGTTGCGTTTCCCCTCTTTAAATCACAGCAGTGATTTCTATTTATCTCCAGCTCTCAAATAGTTTGAGGGGAGATTAAGAAAAGGTTCAAGAGGAGAGAGAGAGAGAGAACTAAGAGGGGTTTTATATTGTGGGGTTATTCTTTATTCTCAAGTGAGAATTGAAAGGGTTCATACCCTTTAATTATTAACACTTTAGCTACAGTGTTTATTTTAGAAATCTCAGTTTTGAGATCTGCTCCTAAATTTTAATTTCTTGTTTGATTAATAAAAAATTATCTGTGTGGCTCCCGAGGACGTAGGCAGTTGCCGAACCTCGTTAAAACTTGGTGTACTTTTTTTCTATACTGCGTTTCTGTTGCATTAGGGGTTTCAGCGTTATATTCCCAACAACTGGTATTAGAGAGTGAAACGATCTAGAGGAAGTCAGATTCAAGTGGGGAGCCATGGCCGCAGATGAAGGGAAAATAAGACTTGAGAAATTTGATGGAACAGATTTCGGATTCTGAAAAATACAGATAGAGGATTATCTGTATCAGAAAAATCTGTATCAACCACTATCGGGGAAGAAGCCGGATTCCATGAAGGAAGAAGAGTGGAACCTTCTAGATAGACAAGCCCTCGGAGTTATCAGATTAACGTGGAGAAGACCACGACAGGTCTTATGGCAGCCCTCTCAAACATGTATGAGAAGCCATCAGCCGCGAACAAAGTTCATTTGATGCGGCGGTTATTCAATCTGAAAATGGCGGAAGGCGCGTCAGTAGCACAAC